TTCAAGTTCAGTTCAATTTTGAACTGAACTTGAACTTGACCAAAAGTTCAGTTCAGTTCAGTTCATAGGAACACTATATATAGATATATCTATAGTTTGTAATACTTCTAGTATTATCCTAGACATTTTGTGTTTTTAAAATATCCTTCTAGTTTGGATACTAAATAAAAGTAAAGGAGTGCACCAGCAAGAAGCTTGACCTCTACCAAAACCAGTTCAAAGTAGACTACACCTTAGTTTTATACTCTTGGTACTTCATTGACAACACATCTATTTCTGTAGAACCAAGTTTATTATTCACCTTAGCATTTTTTATAGCGCTAACTGTAGTTTAATTTCTTGATTTTTGTTGACTAGATGATTGTTAGAAAGAGTTAATTGTATGTAAATTATCTTGATATATAGTAAATTTTTTTTAAATTAATATTTTTAATATATGAACATATATATGTATAGATCTTGGCTTACAAAAAGAGATACTTTGAGAAATTTGTGAGATTGCCATTAAGTTCTATAAAAGTATTTACAATAATAAAACTGCATGCTGCCAAATAACTACACAACTTATTAATTATTACAATAATGAATAACCATTTGACTTCGACTATGATTTTTCAAAATCACCTAGTATGTAGTGGGGTGTAATTGATGACAAATAGTCTAACCTTCAAGGTTTTGCAAAAATTGTTTTTGCAATAGTGTCTTTACAAGCAAGTTATAAGTATAATTTCTCTATTTGATATGACTATATGATATATACTAATCACAGTTATCACCTGAATATTTAAAAAGCATAGCTCAAATTTATTTTTTTAAATCTCTGATCTCAAGGATGAACTTAAATTTTTTATCAGAAAGTGAATTTTGTGATAGTGCATTAACTCAAACAACCTATATGACAATTGAAAATAATGATATAATTTTTGAATCAAATAATATTTAATGAGAATCTTGAAATTGAATTAATAGTCAATTTGTCAAATACAAATTTTGGTGGGCAAGGTACTGTTAATGAAATATCTCATACAACCATAACCCAAGAAATGGTAATATGGATTTTGATCTTTCAACTAGTGTAGAAAGTAAATTGCAGTCTGCAAATTTATTATAAATCAAAATTTTTTTGTACATTTTTTTGTTTGTGCATTTCTTTTTTTTTGTGTATTTCTTTTCTTTCTTTTTTTTTGCATACTTTTTTTTTTGTTTTTGTGCACTTTTTTTGGTTTTGCGCATTTTTTTTGGTTTTGTGTATTTTTTTTGTATATTTTTTTTGTGCACTTTTTTTTGTGCAATTTTTTTGGCACAATATTTTTTGCTTTGCTTAACACCTTATTTGTTTCTTGTAAACATGCAATAAAATAAAGGATATTCTATAGAATAGGTGGGCAAAATAAGAAATAAGCTTCGCTAATGATTAGTAATCATTAATTTTTTAATAGCGGAGTTGCGGAGTTTGCGGAGTTTGCCCACCTATTCTATAGAACATCCAAAATAAATTTACCAGATTATTTGATGATACATATTGCTCTAATATGTATTTAACACTATTAAATAACTGTAGCGCAGATTATGATGTGATCACGTGATATAATTGTTTTGTGTTGTTTGAGTTACTACACAATAGTAGTAACTAGTAAAAACCCTTTGGGAATCTACTAAGTCACAAACTACCAGGTTTGGCTTACATCTCTAGTGGCTGCAATAGGTAGTGAAAGAACCTCATGTTTTGGTGATCAGGCACCGCAGCTGCAGTAGGCTGTGCAAGGATCTCATGCTTGGTTGACTAAGCTTTGATGGTTAGGTTTTACGGCTATCGTAGACAGTGCAAGAATCTCATGCTTGGTGACTAAGCTTTGATGTTTAGGTTTTACAGCTGTTGTAGACAGTGCAAGAATCTCATGTTTTGGTTAGCTTCACAACAGAGATAGCAGTGCTAGGAACCATGATAAGTTACTATATAATTCTATACGTAGAGGTGTGAGCGCAATGCCATAATTGATCGTATTTGTTTTTACAAAAACTCATTTATAGCGTGACTCAGTATCCGAATCGATGAGAAGAATCGAATAGTACCAAAATAATTTAATTCAAATCACTAGATCACAGGATATTTGCAAAAAAAGATTAATGAATTAAGGCATAGTTTGCCGCAATTCATTATTCGAATATCTTGTGATCCAGTGATCCGAATTAGATTATTTTGGTACCATTCGATTTGTCTCTTCGAAACGAATCGAATGGTATCAAAATCATCCAATTTAGATTACTGGATCACGATATAATTTAGTTTTTGTAAAAATAAATACGACCAATTACACATTGCGCTCACACCTCTAGCTATACTGATTCTCGTCATAGCTATGTGATTCCTTCTTGGCTGTATTCCCTTATGTGAAGATGCATGTTTTTATAATAGTCATGAATATGTGATTTTTATTGGTTGATTATAAGATGTGATCGGTTAGTTTGAGACAGAGATGTTTCTGTAAGACCATAGATAATTAGCATGTTATTTAGCCCTTTAATGATAGCGAACAAATTCCTATATGTTTTTCCTTTGTGTAACTCGAACATGATTAGGCGGGCGGCTTTGCTGCTCATGGAAAACAATCAAAACTTGGTTGGTAGATTACTAAATGTTTATGTTTTATGACAAACAATTAAAGGTATAAAATTTACAAACTAATTATATTTTTTATTATGTATTTTATTTTCTGTTTCAAAGTATCACACCATTTTTGTATTTCTGAGCTGGGTTTTTAATAACTAATTAGGTGTAAACCATCGCTTCGCTCCGGCAATGCAGCCAATTTAAAAATAGCACACGAAACTAATGCGAGTAATATAAATAAAAGTAATATTCATAAATCTGAATAGCTTATTTTAATGAATTTTCTCTATACCCAATTTAATACTAAATTTTCATACACGCCTAAATTAATGCAAACAAAAAAATAGTAATTATCATTAACCCGATAGCTTGTTTAGAATTAGATTACTAAATTATATATCTAAATTAACGCAAAGCGAATAAAATTATATAATATATATGTACTTGAATAGCATATTCTGAATACTAAATTTTTTTATACTTACCTAAATTAATGCGAACCGAATAGAATTAAACATTTATAAATTTGAATACTCTATGTTAAATATGAAATAATAAATAAATAACGTATATTAGTAGTAATAATGGTAAAGAAGTGATTTTGCTGGGAATTGAACGTCAAAAAAGGATCGTTATGAAAATAAAATGGCGCCTTATTTACATACAGTATAACGGATGATTGGTTCTTAGATTTCAAAGTTGTAAATACACTGCTATTTATGTAGCCTAAAGACAAATATTAGCAATATACTGTATGTTATATTCGATATACAGAAGTTGAAAGATGCGAAAAAAAAATAACTGTTAGTAATGATTTGCCGGGTATGTTGACAATTTAAAACATATTTATATAGGTAGTCTAAACTTCACCCACGTGAATCCAACGATTTTAATAATGTAATAGATAAATATATATTTGGAAGAAAACCTTTTATTATTAAGGAATCGAAGTTATTAAAGTTACTAGTATATGAAGCTAAAAAATTTGTGAGGTTTTTTTTTTAATATATTTTTATTTAGGTAGTTTAGGTCTGGTGTATTTGAAATAAATTGGTTCCGAGTCTATGGAAATTTTGTATTCATTTATAACATCAATATCGAATAGAGTTATAAAGATTACCGATCATAATAACATCTTATCGGCAACCTTTGGAGTTCTTGCACTACTGCGGTCATATTTATCAAGACCAGGAACTTTGGATTGTTACTTGGGTTCATATCAAATGTACAAGATCATTTAAAAAAAATTATTTTACTCATTACATAATTTTGATTAATCCGATTAATTAGTATCTGAAACATCAAGCTTATACGCCATATAAATGATGTGATTGTAGCAAGGCTAATCTATTTTTAACTGGTGATTGACACATCCAGGTATCGTGGTTTTGAAAGTCCAGTATGTTAAATTAGCAAGCTTATCACATATTCTAAATGATAAATTTATTCTATTGACATCATGGAGAAACTAAGCAAGTGTCATAACTTTAAAACTTTTTTTAATTCGAAAAAAAAACTCTGACAAATGCACTATCAATAACTCAGTAAAATAATTTGTCTAAAATGACCTATTGCATTGACGATAGTTATGCAAGGGGTATTATCGTGAGGATGATCTCCAATCTGTGAATTAGCTTTGCATAACCTGAGTTAGGTATTTTATGGAAAATTGGCAGAAGATAATCTTTAGTGCTTCATTTTTTCGCTGCCCGATTGATATCTGGCTCTTAGTGTTTAGCGCTCGTTGTGAAAAAAGAAATGTTAGACTCGAATATATCAAAAAACGACTTATCAAACATTTGCCTTAGTTTAGGCATATCCACTGAAGGGAATAAAGCAGACCTTGTACAAAGGTTAAAAGAATACCAGACAAATGGATCCCATGAGAATAATGTGGATGGAATGAAGTTCACAAACGATAAGGCTGATGATGAATCAGTAATATCTGACTATCATACTGAAACCACTGAAATATTAAGCCCTGAAACACAAATGTTAAGAGAATTACTTCAGAAGAACAAGCGCCCATTACATGCTGCGCCATTATCGCTTTCTCCCCAAGATGCAGAAGAAACAACTGACCACCCACAGCAGACAAATAAGACGGTTAAAAAATGGAAATTACAAGCTGGAGAGGAAGATAATTCTAACTCATTAATTGAGAAAGTATTATCAGGGTTCCAAAAATTAGAGAATGCTATGCTGAGCTTTGATGACAAATTGAATACAATGGCACACCAAGTCCAGGAGACACGTAATAAAGCAGAGGTTAAGAAAGCTTGGTCTAAACATAAGTTTGAGAAGTATCGTAATCAACATGAGTACAATACACTATGCCAAATTGGAAGGGAAATTGACTTAACTATGGACTCCAGAACTATAACTGACGTAGCAAGTCATATTGAGGCTACAAAGGAGTTAGTAGGAAATAGAATGTTTACCTTGAGGGTAGTGATGGTTTTGGTTGGGACATTGCCTCGG